GATTTATGCTCAGCCGATATCGACCATGGAATCCTTGCACCGCTAATATCACTGTGACTTTAAGCAAAGCGTTTTATAGCAGTTTAATTTTATTGCGTGCTAAATGATGTGCACCTAAGTTCCAACATGTGGAGGTAATCATTAAATATAGAAGATTAATGAAGATTTCTGTTATAAACTCCTATCTAAATTGAAATTAATGGATAAAAGTAAAATAAAGAGAAAACGTTTAAAATATCGTATAGTCGGATAGCGAAAAAAATCCTCAATGGCTCTAAGCACACAGCGCTGGCGATGGGAATATCTATACATATAATAAAATTGTAGAAAAGTGCTGTCTGTACATTGAAAATGAAAATAAAAAAAATAGCAGGGGCTATTGTTATGTCGATGTCGAACCCAAAAATGTAACTAACTTTTTTTTTGTCTGTTTGTCTGTTTGTCTGTTCACGCTAATCTCAGAAACGGCTTATCCGAGTTGGATGCGGTTTTCACGAATATATTGTGGTATGCTTCAGTTATGCTTTAGTGTTTGTTTCATGTCAATCGGTTTATAAATAAAAAAGTTACGTCAAATTAAAGAATCACGTCGAACACTATCTATCTATCTATACATATAATAAAATTGTAGAAAAGTGCTGTCTGTACATTGAAAATAAAAATAAAAAAAATAGCAGGGGCTATTGTTATGTCGATGTCGAACCCAAAAATGTAACTAACTTTTTTTTTGTCTGTTTGTCTGTTTGTCTGTTCACGCTAATCTCAGAAACGGCTTATCCGAGTTGGATGCGGTTTTCACGAATATATTGTGGTATGCTTCAGTTATGCTTTAGTGTTTGTTTCATGTCAATCGGTTCATAAATAAAAAAGTTACGTCAAATTAAAGAATCACGTCGAACACTATCTATCTATCTATACATATAATAAAATTGTAGAAAAGTGCTGTCTGTACATTGAAAATAAAAATAAAAAAAATAGCAGGGGCTATTGTTATGTCGATTTCGAACCCAAAAATGTAACTAACTTTTTTTTTGTCTGTTTGTCTGTTTGTCTGTTCACGCTAATCTCAGAAATGGCTTATAAATATATATATATTTAACAGGGTGCGGAAAAGGTGATAGTGGTTTTATTCCTCAGATTCCTCTCATTCCAAAAAATTTTCCGTTTAATTTTAAACGAATTCAGTTTCCAGTGAGCCTATGTTTCGCCATGACAATTAATAAAGCTCAAGGTCAGACTCTAAAAGTTGTGGGTATAGATCTAAGTATCAGCTGTTTTTCGCACGGTCAATTGTATGTGGCTCTGTCCCGTGTTAGCAATCCCAGCAGCCTGTATGCTTTCACCCCCGATGGCCATACGTCTAATATTGTATATAGAGAAGCATTACAGTAAAGTAGGTTTTTTAGCTACCCAAAATGACTGTGATTATGATCCAAATCTAAAATAAAAATAAGTATATATTTAAAAAAAAAAACGCTGCTCATAGTCACTATTCTACGCGAACGAAGTCGCGGGCACAGCTAGTTTTAAATAAAACTGTCGATTACATCGTCCACATCTGGCGGGGTGCGCTATAATTAGTAGCTAGGTATAGCTACTTACATGCATAATAATTTCGTTGGCCACAGATCATTGATACTTATCGAGTAAACAATGTACGCGAGCGCAGCGTGCCGATGCTCTGTAATGATGGGATCTATATCTGTGGCCGCGGATGTAGCACAGGTGTACTCTGACAAGCAAAATAAACTCAACCGTAATCGATTTGAGCGTTTTAGAGCTAACAGTTGTTCTTATATCGATTGATTCTGTATTATGTTTAGGTAAGTGGGTATAATCGAGTGTGGTCGAAATATTCAGTTTTATTCTTGGATCTGTTTTGTATACTCGAACCCACATTCTTATTTGTATGTGCGGTTGAAAGCCTAAGGATTTATTGAGGTGAAAATCATTCAGGATAATTTAAATTTTTGCATTTAGAAATTTGGAAAACTGGAGTTCTTTGTTGATAGTTTTATAAACTTCAGTCGATAATTTGGAAGGAAAGTTGTTTATCGATTGTAACAAATCACCTAGCCTAGTTACTCTGGTGTTGGTGGTCTGGATATCTGGTTCATTAGCAACGTAGGTATTCCAGATAGATAGGTATGCGGTTCTACAAACAGTTACATAACTTGATAATAGAGAAATGTTTACGCCTACTGATTTCTTAGCTTTCTATTGGATGATGATATAAAATGCACTTTTTCTCTTCTTTTTCTTTTCCGGCATTGGAAAATTTTAACAAAATTTTTATAAGCACGTTATTAACTCAATTCATATTCTAAAACAACATGATTGAATGACTAGCACAACCAATATCAGTTACACGTCTGTAATTAGGCTGTTTATAGCCTATTTTTATACATTGAAACATCCAGTCTCCGTAGCCCATGTCCAATATAAGTTAACTGTATTCAGAAAAGAATTTGAAATTACAGCCGGTTTATTGTTACGCTCTCCCCGTTTCCTCTTTATGGGGCAAACAGTTACCTACATCATCACCGTCATTGTCAACAATTCGTAACTCTTAAGAGGGTATAAGAGAGACTGCATAAGAGAAACTGCCATAATCTCCGAGTCCAATCTTTCGACCTGCATTTAAAAAGTTCTGGCTTCTGTTGCTGCTTGGTCTCTGTCAAATGCAAGTGCCTGAATGGTTCTGTAGTCAACTCTTACGTTATACTTATTCGTGGAAACTTGGCAAATTTCGATCTCATCAGGATTAAATGAAATTAGGTATTCACTCAAATATCAAATAATGATACTTTTTTTTTCAAATCAAATCAAATAAAATCACTTTTATTTGTTAACATAGGTGCATACAGATATAGGTCTTATATATGGTAATAAAAAGACCGCTATGCTATACCCGGAGGCGTACAAATTGTGGTATTTAAAAATGTCACTTAGGTCAAAATAGGTCAATCAATTAAAATGTCTAAATGTATTAAATGTCAATATCAAAAATATAATTTTGAATAAAATTATTTCAGTCATTCAAGTTAAATGTAACAAACAAATAATGTGATAATAATACAATATAAATAGACAACATACAGTAGTCAAAGTTTCGCAATTGCAGGTTAATAATTTATTAATAATTCAGTCACCAAGTATGTCGTCACCCAAAAAATATCGATATTGCAGGTCAATAATTGTGGTCATTTAAAAATTCCGTTAAGTTATAAAAACATTTGGCTATAAGATATTTTTTTAAATGTATTTTAAACAGAGTAGTGGGCAATTGTTTAATAGGTTTAGGGAGTTTATTATATATTATTGGAGCCAAACAAAAGATACTTTTTCGCATTAACGCCGTTGTTGATCTAGGTACGCACAGTCTATTGTTATCCCGTCGATTACGTATACAGATATCTGTTATCTTCTCGTACAAGTTGAGATTACTCTTCACAAAAATAGCCACCTCATAAATGAACAAGGAAGGGAGACTTAAAATATTATATTTAATGAAATATTGTTTGCAACTATCAGTCATTTTTAGGCCGAACATAGCTCTGATACATCTTTTTTGAGCTTTGAAGATAGTTTCTTTGTTGGTAGAATTTCCCCAGAATATTACTCCGAATCTCAGTATCGAGGCAACAATACCATGGTAAGCAGTTATCAGCGCATGGGTACTTATGATAGGCTTACTACGATACGATACTTTACTACGATGATTCAGCCATAGGTGTTTTTTTAGGTATCCTTTTAGGTATCCTGCAGCTAAAGTACCGAGTCTGATGAAAATAGTGAAAAAGACGACAAACCCTTTAGAAATAAGCTACTGAAGAAGATTTCTTGTATTTACACAACGTCTCAGTGATGTTCCTTAAATTTGGTATAAATCAACATTTTTTTTATTTCATTACATCCAAAGTCTTGTAAGTCTTGTTAAGCGCCTTGTAGTAGAATTTAATCTGTTTAATTATTCGCAAAGGTAATTCAGAATTGGGGAAACTGATTGGAAAATAAATTAATAATCTGTTAAAATCCATTGTGTGCAGCGGTTCATTGTCCGCTCCAGAAATGTCCAAAAAAGCAACAATATGCAAAAAATGTTGTTGAATTTTATTGTAAAGCTAAAGAACCACAACTGCTCTCTGAAGAGTATGGCGACGACAAAAAATATTTGTTTAATATTACTGTATTTATTTCATTTCGTTGTAGATGGTGTCACGGTCAATACAGGTATGTACATTTTATGACTTGTATATTATGCAGATACCTAACTGCAGTGTTAGCGTTAAGCAAATTGTAGGTATTTTTATGGGTGTCTCAATAGACACTAGGTTTGTTTTATAATTATAATAACAGAAAAAAAACTTGGTTCTTATTAGTAACTTCAATAATAGTATTATTTGCGGTGTTGGGGTTGTAATAAAGAAGTAGATATAGGTATCGTCATCTAAAGAAGATTCACCTAGTCTTTAAAATTTTATTTTCTGGTAGTCTGTTACTACACAAGGTCATTTGTGTTTATGTAGTTTATGATTAAAGTTTAAAGTTTTTACAGTATATTTTTGATTGTGTAGCTTGCCAGGTTTCTGGTAAGTAAATAGGTACTTGATTTTAGAACAGTAAATAATATTTAAAGCTTAATTTGTTTTTAAAGTAGGTACTCATGCCAACTTCATAGTTGAAAATACTTAATGGAATTTTGAGAATATCCTATAAACTGACGAATGACGCAAGTTCCTTAGCAATAAAATTTAATCTAAAGTGCAAAGCCATATAAAACACATTAAAGAAGCAGTTTATTGTAAACAAGTGCAGTTGTTGGTACCACCACGATCAGTCAATGCTGCCTTACTCCATAACAGCGGCGTAACGCCCAATAACAATCGGCCAATCGGAACGCTTCATTAGAATCGCCACGCCCCTAGCTTGCGCTTGCGCCGATAACGGAGGCGCGACGCTTGTCAGTTTTTCAGTTGCTTTCATAACAGAAGGTTCTTCGTGTCGGTTCGTTGATGGGATTGAGTGACAATGACGTCTTTGAATAGTGGTGTTAATTCTGTGACAAAATTGAAGTTTAGTGTGGACAGTATTTTGGGTAATAATGATTCTCATCACTCGAGTACGCCGGTTACGGAGGTGTCTCGGAGTCAGGAGCCTCCATGCGCCGGTTGCGTTGCTGCGCTGTACCGCTGCTGCAGGGATGAACCTCCCCTTCTTCAGCTTCCCTTGCCTCTTCCATACACACATTTACATCCAGCATTAAGGCCTACTACAGGTATGTTAGGATTTTTCATTCTTTGATGATTTTATTCCGTTTTTAAATATCGATCTTACATTGGTTTAGATAAATTTTACAAGAAATATTTAATTAGCAAATATTTATTATTATTGGTCCAACCGATTGGAGTTGTAAACATTTATCTAATAAAAATTTAATTGATAGTCATTTTGCATTACAGCTTATGCACCTACCCTGTCATTTCTCTGTACCACCCTAAGATACACTGGCAGAGAATGTTTTAGGCATTCAGTCCGCCTTGTTCTATACGTGTAGAAGTATTAAATAAAAAAAATATGAATAATTGTTTGAAATTAGAATGTTACAATTTTATTTTATTGATAAGACATTTTGGATTAATGAATTGATAAAAATATGTCACGGCTTTTAATCCCCGATGGAGAAGGCCGACGTTTTACCAGTTATGTTATGATTTCCATAATTCATCTTCCATGTAATAGGGGTGAAGGGTTGAGCTTATGAAGAGTATTGAAATTCATACATTTGTAAAGTTTTTGTGTTTCACAAAATATACGGCACGGCCTATCCCGGTTTTGCCCGGGTGAAATTTTTTGGCTTATCCGGTAACTTTTCTTTGTTTTTTCTTTCATAAGAATTGAATCTGATAACAATTTTTCTTCCTTTGATATTTATTCATAACCTGTTATCGACTTAGAAGCCCAGTTCACGATAAATGTTTGTTACATAAATAAAAAAGTCATAGTACCTAATGAGAAATATTTATACTAAGTGTCGTTGTGTCTGTGAAATTGTATGTTTGTAAACCCCCGAACAGGAGAAATTCCAATTGTGGGGCAACGTATAAAAAAAGTTTAAATACATCACTACTTAAATAGTATAAAACATAGTCGCTATCTGCCGTCTGTCTGTCCCTATGTACCTATGCTTAGATCTTTAAAACTACGCAACGGATTTTGATGCGGTTTTTTAACAGATAGAGTGATTCTTAATGAAGGTTTGTATGTTTATAATACATGAATATTGAACCCGTGCAAAGCCGGGGCGGGTCGCTAGTAACCTATATAATATTCTCATTTGTGCATCAAACAAAAGTTGGCTAGTAGCGAATGAATAAGGCATTAGTTAAGTCTTCCGTAGTACCTACATATTTTTGCATTAAGTTTCAATAAATAAGTAATATATAACCACTTGTAATAAACACTAAAGTAAATTAATAATGAATTGTAATAAATACGTAAATAAATAAATATGTAATTAGATTAAATAAATGTAGGTAGGTAGGTACTATCTACCATCCACTTTTACAGCCTAACGGCTGCAATTTAACGCCAGATTAGGCAAAGAGTAACCTATCCCTAGTTTTAATTTTACTTAACCAATAATGTTATCGTGGAAGTCCAGATTTAAAAGGTGAGAAAAATATATTTAGGCGGTACGAAGTTTGCCGGGTCAACTAAGCTAGTTTTAAATATATTTTATCATTGTTATTTGTATTGTTGTTTATTACAATTCAGAAATGTACTGAAAAATTAACCTAATTCACCACCCACATCCGCCCCGTCTAAAATTTCGTTTATGTCTTTTACTTCGGCAAAAGAACTTACGTGTAAATGGTAGGTAAGAAAATATTAAGTATACCTATGTAAGCACGTACCTATATGATATTTGTTTGTAGTAGGATATATTATATGTTTGTGTTTCTAAAAATATTTTGTAATGAACTCTCGTTTGTGCAATAAACAGATAGATAAATATCGTCCGGGATGAGATAAATCATGAGATGATCGGATATATTAAGAGATAATTTCGAATTTTGATTACTATTAAATTATCTACGTACTCTGTTAATAATATGAAAATATTAAATATATAAATTTACAGGGACGAAATGTTTAAGTACTCTTTAAACACGTAACATATCATTGCCTCTTTCACTCACTCAAAGTATTAGATAAAAAAATAATAATAATAAATATTATAATAACAAATATTATTTTTTATGTTTTTTTTTGTAAGTACCTAGTATTTAAAAATATAATTTATAGAGAATCTTAAATAAATATATGGAAATTAATAAATAATAATAAATTTATTTATTATCTCTCTACACAATGGATTATTTCACAGAAATAAGATGCAAACAATACACTTCTTTGTGAGAGACTGGAGTCCGTACTAGGATTTCCTGTGTGACGGATCTCCAGGCTACCATCTCGGCCCAGTTACAGATTATAGATATCTATTATAAATCCGCAGAAAGATAAATTCTTCGATGTTGCAGATACGAGAAATAAAAGAAAAAAGAACACTATAAACTCAAACTCAAACTCAAAGTCTTTATTTGCATGTTAAGGTAATACATACAGGTCATTACAGGTCTTATGAAATAACAGGCACAGCTTAACGGCCTTTTTCAGGCGTTGCAAATTTTAGGGGTGTCACTAGCTTAATATAAATTACATTTTGGTTAACATTTTTTTCTTAAATAATATACTTATTACAAAACAAAGTAGTGATTCGCGTTAACAAGGAAAAGAAAATAAAGTAGGTACCGAACACAGAACATAATGCAACTACTTAGGTACACAAAGAGAAGGAGATTCTCTACGTTCTCTAACTCTTTTAATAATGTGGCAAGCACTTTTCACCAGTAATGCTAGGATTCTTTGGTAAAACTTGATGATCCTAGTGCTATATTTACCGTCTGTCGGTGCAACTACAATTCTAAATTAATAATTATGTCTTCGGCTTACTCACGTCTTTGACGAGGAACTCGACTAGTTTCAAGCCATGCTAGAGGCTCATATTCATGAGCATATGGGCCTCTAGCATGGCTTGAATGAAAAGCATAATTTAGTATGTCTCTTAATATAAACTACAATTCTAGACACCAACCGTACTGCTTTAAAAATTAAAAAAAAACCGAAGATACTATACATAGCAAGTTGCACTTGCATAAATATAACATCTTAAATCTGTATCAAGTGTCTACTAAAAATATTTTTACAAACTTTTACATAGAGATTTATTATGTTAGTGTTCCATGCATCTGTCAACTTTTTTGCTAAATCTATTGCTATGGTAGACTGTTGCAAGCTCTACTAACCTTTATATCAAAAATGAGAAGTGCCTTGTATACTAATTTAATCTAATTTGGTTCAGTCAAATATTCCTTTCAAATTTATTTTTATTTATTTAAAATGCTTCATGCACAAAATGTACAAATAGGTAGACTTAATGCCGCAGGCATTTTCTACCAGTCTGACCTTTGGGTGATGCAGAGAAGAGTAAATGGCAAGTGCAAGAGGCAAGCAGTGATTTTATTAAACAATGAAAGATAAACTAATATATTTCGGAGATATACATACATAAATAAATTTAATTATAATGTATACCTACACATGAGTACAATATGCCTACATACATACATATATACATAATATATAAATATATACTTGCTTACTAGTACACAGTGGATAGTTAGCGCGATGATTCAGCCAACCTCTTTAGGAAAAGCTCACGTACTTTCTGCTTAAAAGTTAGTCGAGTTCTGTCAGTTCAAATCTGTATGTCGGACACGCATCTAGCCAAATTTTTGATCCCGGCGGACTGTCTCATAGTGAACTCTGAAGATGACCGTTGTGTCGGATTAAGGAATAGTTAGGTTTAGAGCCTTAACTCAAAGGTGGTATTGCATGTGCTTATAGGCGGAACTGCACTAATGCCTTACTATCAGATGTTCGTTTTTCGAGGCTCTTTTACGCTTATCACATAAAAAAGGGAAGAGCCAATCTTACTTGACTCATGTATTCGATTGAGAAAATTATTTTTATTCCAATAGGTAGAAGTTCTATCTTGTACAATAAGTTTCTATTTGCGCTGCCCTTACCATTTCAATAATTTTAAATTGTTTCCAGTGTACAGGCTACCTCTTCCTTCGTCATCACCACCGCAGTCATCATCAGCTCCTCGATGTGACGTCACTTCAAGTGGCAAGAGGAAGCGATCCTGGTCCCGAGCAGTGTTCAGTAACCTTCAACGAAAAGGACTGGAGCGACGGTTCCAAATACAAAAATATATTACGAAGCCAGACAGGCGACAACTGGCGGCTACCTTAGGACTCACTGATGCTCAAGTAAGTTATTTTCTTGGTTAATAGAACATCCTACTTACTCAACTGATCATAATATAATATAACTCCACGCCGTTTTAATCTCCGAAACTGTAGGCAGAGGTGCATTATCACCCTATGTGTAGCAGTCCTAAAAAGGAGGTTAGCCAATAGCTTATAGCGATATCGGGCGAATTCGTGCTATAACTAAGAATTTACGTAAACCGTTTGCCTGAGTTGGTAAGGTACTTTTTCGGTTTAACTCAAACACATCTGCTTGGCAGTCGTAAGTACTTGCAGCCACGAAACTCACGAAGCTGTGCATAAACAAATAGGAAGATGAACCTTATTTCATATAAGCACCTAAAGCTAAAACTTTCGTGTAGTATTTAGGATCTAACTACTAACAGTAGATCTATCTTACATAGAATATAGATCTATAATTAACACCACACTACGCTAAGCTAAACCACGGTTCTGGTCAAGCTGTCGATATCGTACGAAAACATCTGTATCAGATATTAGTTCCCAACGATAGCACCGCAGGCGGTATGGCGCCGACGTCGCTGCTGGCCTGGTGTGAAAATACACTAAAGTTAATTAACACTGTTGGTAATCATACTTATCTGTTGATAGTTACCAATTAGATATTACTTACGTAGTTTTTTAAATACTTATGTTATGTAGAATTCTGTTGAATGCTCAGGTGCAAGAATAATTTAATACATATAATTTTGATTAGGTATGCTAAGCTGTTTAAATTTTCCATTTCGTCAATATCAATGTAACGTAAGTAAGAACTTTATGGAATAGGCCGGTTTATCTGTCCGTTTACAAGCAGTACACCTGATGTATATACAATCGGCGTTGCTTTTGGAACCTTGCGACATTAGGAGCCACAAATGCGTTGTCCGCCTTTTGAGATTAGAGGATTGTTTATAGGGTAAAGGATTATGTCTCCGGTAATTTCACTAACACCATGAAACATAACACATGTATTGTATTACGCTTTTCTGTAAGGCTGTGGTATCGACCGGCTGATAAATTCCTGCCGAAGAATGGTTGGAAATGGCAGGTACGTGGTAGAGCACCACGTACCTGCCTACTACATAATAATATGATAGTTAGTTTAGCTTCCAAACCTGACATAGTGGTGATAGATTTACCAAGCCGTCCCACAATGACGAGAATCTTCGAAAGCTGAACAAGATAACAAGTAAATAGCTTGATTTAGCACATGAGATTGTCGATATGTGGGATGTGGATTCAGCAGCCATTGTGCCGTTACGGCATCATTGCTAAAACCCTCGATCAACACCTGAGTAGGCTAGCGTTAGATTGTTGGGTCAAGGGTCTGATGCAAAAAGCAGTACTTCTGGACACGGCTCGTAAATCGTATACGTCCGGAAATTCCTCTCCTGGCTGGAGCCCTGACCACCGGTATTTTGGATTTCTCCTGTTACTGGTGGGCTACTGCTTTTTATATTTTTAAAATATATAAGTCAAGTATAAAAATAATTAAATAAATTATGTATGATAGTTTAGCTCCTCGATACTAAGTATTTTGTGTAAGTAAAGAGGTAAAAAATGTAGGTGGGTGGGTAAATATCAAGAATATAAGTATAAGTTACTGTCTACCAATATAAGTTTCTGTCGCAAAATTTTTAAGTTATTAAACTTTATAAATTTTGTCCACAGGTAAAAGTCTGGTTCCAAAACCGCCGTATGAAATGGCGACATACGAAAGAAGGGCGCGGTGGCATAGCAGGGACAACAGGTCTACCTGGACGAGACCCTGACTCCACCAACGATGACAACGAAGACATTGATGTTGACACACTCAGTGATTAATTGAAACTGTTTGGACTAGACTAAAGTGAATTGAAACTTTGCGGTATTTTCTTCATGCATAGGTGCTAAGTGGCTATGATTCGGCATTGTGAGATATTGCCAATGAGAAAAAAATTGCGGACGGAGGAATATTCGGCCTCAGTGGTCAAACGTTTTTCAGCTTCTCGAAAGGGTTATCTAGAATGCCCAGGTTTTGATACGAAGGGGTATATCGTCACAGTGACTAGTTTTTTACTTAGTATTTTGCGATTCAACGCATCGATAGACCTTTAAAGTGATCAAGTTATGAATGAAAAGGCATCCTACTTATTTTGGGAACAGTATCTAGTAATTAGACAATGAAATACCCAATTTGTGTGGTGTACGTACCTACATATTTGGTGTTCGTAACGTGCACCTATTGTTTTAATTTTTCAAGATTTCTTTGCAACATTATCTATATACATACAAAATAAATGTAGGCTAGTTTACTGATGTATTTTAAACGACCTGAGTAATAATTATTTATTAAATGTAAATAAGTTGCATTTAGTGTACAGAGAATCCTATATTTTTATAAGAAAGAACCAATAAACTGTTTGAGTATCTATTTATTATTAGAGCATGTTTTAGTTATTAGCCATTTCCTATCCAGAATCCTAAATCCTTCTTTTTATCTTTCATCAAGGTCGTTGAACAAAAGGCGGACGTAATTATCACTTGGAAGTGATTGAAGCATCATAATATCAGTGGTTTATTTATGTGTGTGTACTTGCAACACCTTATGTATGAAGTGTAATGACGGGCTATGTTTTTTTTTATATTGACCAACGTCTCGACGTTAGTCAAACGTCGACCTATAATGTATATCCTCGACTGATGGTAAGCGATGATGTAGCCGACGATGGAGCACGCCTACCTATGAGCAACCTGTTCACTCGGGACTTGAAGACACCCCAAGTCATATTTGACGGGAAACACAGCCTCTGGCAAGGAATTCCATTCCTTAGCGGTTCGCATGAGGAAGCTTGACGCGAAACGCTTCGTGCGAATGGGTGGAATGTCCATGGTGGTATGGTGGTGAAATGGACTAGGGGGAATGAGTTTGTGCAATGACCACGCACACCAACGAAATGTATCCGATAGAAGACCGAAAGGCTTGCGACTTTGCGTCTGTGTTCGAGGCTTTGTAGCCGAGCTTCCACAAGCGTATCGTCATTGATAAGCCTCTTGACACGCCTCTCGATGTCACGCGGCAGATGTCCTTCGTGTCAATGTGTTTGTATTATGCGTATAAGTCTATGGTAGCCTGGTGCCACAGTCCTTTCCTTCCATATATCACTCATACTCATTATGGCTCTGGCTACGAATATTTTAAATATACCAATAGAAAACAGGTTAATAAAATTAAGATAGAAGTAGTTTAATACATCGTTTTATTTCATTTAATTTACAAATAAGAACAGCTATACGTAATAGACAAGTAATAAAATATAAACGTATACAATATGAAAAATGTAATTATTCGGTGGAGGCCAACACTTGGGAATTTTCAAAAGTAATAAATAAAGTTTACAGGGCAGAAAGATGTTACAACAAAGACTAGTGAATTTCGACATAAAAAAATAAAACGTACGATACTACATACAAACTTAAGTCCTACGATATGTTGAAAGTAAAATTCTACACAAACAATCCTACACAACTAACATTTCAATAACTACATAGATTTCACCTATTTTGGCATTAACTTCCCTATCTAATAATCTACAAGTTTCACTTTGTTTTTGGAGTACCCTTCGCTAGTGTCTCTATCATGGTCTTGAGAGGGACTACTACTATGATGATCATTGTGTCTATACCCGTGCCCTCTATAACCTCCTCTATGCCCATAAGGCCTCCTTCGCCCCGTATTGTAACCATCCTCTTTCCACCGACCTTCGTAACTGTGGTTATCATATCGATTGTAGCTGTCATACCGCCCTTGCCCTTGTTCGCGATTCTGGTACTTATCGTACCTATTCGAATAATATTGAGACCTATCGTCATCATTTCTCCTATCGTCTTTGCTGTCTTGGTCGTGATACCGCCGCCTGTCTGAATAGTACGAGTTCTCTCCATATTCTCTAGGCCTGTTCATACTGTAATCAGATCGGGGTCTTTGTGACGTTGATGCGAAATCTCGGTTAGTTTCCCACACTGGAATGCGTGCTGGTGGTGACGCGCTGCGCGATTTGCTTTTGTCCTCTCGTTTTTTGCCGTTAGAGAGTGATTCTCTGCAAAGAAATTAAATAATTATTATTAAGTAAAATTTTACAAATACTTATTAGATTTAAATAAGCATCTATTATCTTGCAGGTAATGTTTTAATATTATGATTATCATTATACATACCTAGAAGATGATCCACTACGACTTCTATCAGAGTCATCTTCACTCGATCTTCTATTCTGTTGGTGCCGCATTTCACGTTGCCTGCAACAAATATCAAGATAGAATATTTCTACATTTTACGAATACGTGCCACCAACCACGCAGTCATATTTATATAATATAAAATAAGAATAAGAAATAGTTTGTTTTTCTTAGTAAGTTTATTTCGTCACTGAATACAGACTTGCGTCTAAGTTTGATGGCCAGTTCTCTCATCTCTTCATCCCTCCGCGCTTGCCGTCGGCTTTCACGTTCTTGACGCTCGGCTTCAGCCCGCTTGTCCGCGCGAACTGTATAAACCAATACGTCACATTCATGGAAATGGCTACATTCGATTTTGAAACATTGTGGTAAGTGTTAATTTTTTTAAGTTGTGTAAATTCCATTAGTAAATCTTGTACTGTCTTAGTTTATAAAACTCACGCTGCCTTGATAACTGTGCCTGCATTTTCCTCTTGAGTTTTTCTTTCAGTGATAGCGTTTCACGCGACGGACCCTGCAAAAATGGTCATGTTAATACTATGTACGAAATTGGGAGAATCAACTCTTTACTGAGAAAGATTCTCGTAAAAATGTTGCTGGACCACCTCATCAGTTTTGTTGGATAAACCCTGAAATTGAAGTGTAGAGCACGACTTTGGACCGTGAGAAATACTTTACCCCGAAACCTTGGCGTCGACAATTTGTTACATTTTCGGTAATCCTGTCTGTGTACTTAATGTAAAAGACAGTGCAGAAACAATAAGATAATGAATTAAGTTACGACGGGTTTACTATGGATAACCAATTTTGTGGTCAATAAAATATTACTGCCAATAAGTAATTCAAAATTCACAGGATACACTTTTGTGCGGCAAAAAAGGGATTTCGATAAGTTATGAGAAAAACACTTAAGACACTGCGGGTAACACAATAGGATGATATTCAAGCAACAGTCATCTCAAACAATTCGAGCAAGATTGCCAGGGGACACATACACGTACAACCAGGAGTTTAGCAGGTTTCGTCGCAAACTGTCAGATTGTAGTAAAAAAGCGAAATCTGCTGTTGATTAAACTACTGGCCAGAAACGTCGTAAGGTGCTAAAATGAAAGCAGAACAAATGTATAAAAGCAAATGATTCTTACTGACTTTGGAGCTGGATCCAGACAATCGTAACTGATTCTGGTTTGTATTGGATTTATTGCCCACCGCCATTCTGAAATGTGAACATTGCTTGTGTTAATTTTGGTGCAAAATATCGTGCTGTGGTGTAATATTCACGAAATTAAAACAATATTTTTGAACAACCTAAACAATACCGCAGTTTAGTTCACATGGCAAAATAAAATAAACTTACTTGTTTTTCGCGTCCTCGTCGGATTCGCTTGAGTCGGAGTCTATGGACAGTTCACTGGACGACTGGTCCTCCTTGCGTCGCCCGTAGTACCGCGGCACGGCCGGCTTGCTCTGCGCATTCTTATCGCTACTGCAACACAATATCGACATTAACTCAAAACTTCTAAATCATTACGTAAAACGTAAAAGTGTCAAATTACCACTTCGAATAATAACGGCTCCTTCACTTTGTCTGACTCACCTCACCAATCAAATATAATAATAATTTCAAAACGAGCTTACCTTTCAAACGACATCGACCTGGACTTATTACGCTTGGCATAACCACTAGCTTGACTGGAAAATACAAAGACAATTAGTTTCAACCTAAATACAAGCGAATTATTGTGTAGATAGTAATAGGTGTGAATACAAACTTTGCCGGGCTTCGAGAATATCTGTTTCTACGATTACGTGACCTTGACCTCGAGCGAGTTCGTCTGTACGGACTGTAGGAGCGAGACCTTGACCTGGAGGTCACGGAGCGGGATCGGGAAGAGCGAGACTTGGAACGAGATTTCCTCCAAGAACGCGACCTCGAACGTGATCTTGAGCGCGACCGGGATCGCGAGAACGACCTTGAACGTGAGTTGGGTCCTCTGGGTCCAATCGGTCGACGGCGGCTACTTGGTGGTGTAGGCCTAAAAGTTCACAAGTAAATTAATTCCTGTAGCATGGTATATTCTTCGAAATATATATTGTTTGTGACTGAGTTTTACCTGCTACGTGGTTTGCGTGCTACATCAGCATATAACATCTTCAAATTCTGCTTTACTTTGTCTGCATACAGTGGTTTGGGTGCTGTAAAGATGAAACCAGTAGTTAAAATCTCGCGCTAGGTTCACAATTATTTTTGATCTTGTGACGAAATTTAAGCAAAGTGGTGTTCTATACTCACGTGGTTTCTCTTCTTCCTCTCCACCGAAAGACGTAATAAATTGTATATTCTCGCCCGTATCTGGAGAAGGGCTGCGACTAGGTGATCGGCTCGGCGACCGTGCCGGCATTGACGACGGAGCAGCGTAACTAGGAGGACTAACCACCCTTGTAGCGAGCTTCTTGTCGCTGCAAAATAAGTGTTATTGCTTTATAACACGCCGACTCGCAACTTAATAATAAGGAGACGATCTTACTTGCGTGCCTCAATAGTATAACTTCTTGCGGCAGCATGAAATTGGAATTGTTATTTATTATTTTTATTATATTCAATATCAAACAAAGAAGACTTAAGACTATAATGGCGCATAACAATACTTGATGGTTATTAATAATAGAAATAGTTTATGTTACTGCCTGTGGCCTTCATATTTATTCAATCATAAGCATTAACTGCTTAGATTTGAAACTATTGTAAGTTAAATGGTTTAATATAAAAATCATTCTAAACTTTAATAAGAAATGAACCACAAAGGCGTCTCACCGATGCGCCCTTCGCTCTCTCCTACTCTTTCTCCCAGAGAACATAGCTTTTTCCTTTTCTTCCCTTAGTAGCTGCTTCTGGTGCTCTGCATCATCAGCGTCACCGGTCAGGAACGAGAAGAGATCGCAACCCGCCATGCCGAACTGCGGTCCCACGCCATTCAGCTCGTGTGCCTGTACTCCGCAAAATGTAGCATGAGCAAGAGTACAAAAATAGTCAACTACATTATAACGTAAGTAACGTAAGCTATCGAACAAATCGTTTTAAATGACAAAAGTATGTTTACTTAAAACCGAACATTTACTGAAAATATGCAAGAATTAAGATGTAACAAAGGTAGTTAGTTCTTTGAATACAAGTACATGCACAAAGTAATTAACAAAACACGAATATAGGTCATGCAGAAAATCAATGCAGAAATTCAGTCAAATACATTTCTGTGCCAAATGGGTCATTTGATAGAAAACTAAAAAAGTGGGTCATACAAAACAAAAGGTTGTTATATACAATCTACAAAACATTAATATCTAAAAAACTGTAATATAATAGACATTTTAAATCACTGCATAAATAACCATGCCATATTTCTTTGATAACATTCCAACTATACAATAGCAGTGGTTGGTTATCAAGCTATAATTCCTTTAGTAACACAGTTAATGGTATGCACATAATTATAAATAATGACCTAGGAGTTACTTCGAGAATACATAATAGCTGTTATGAGAGCATGTGACATTTAAAGTCATCATGGATGATGAGTGGAGGAATATTGTAGTTCTAAGAGTATTATTAACTCAGTAAATGCTCACCTGTGAAGCCTCCATCTTGTTCACATCAATGCTCAAGTCGACGTCAATGATTTCCAGATCCGAATCATCGTCCGAATCTTTCTGTTCCACTTTTTTAGTGTCTGGTCCTGTAATTAACACTGCATGCCATAAGAATACCCAGAAAAGACTGTAGAATATACTACCCCGTGACCAGACATAAGTAGCCGTCAAAGCATCACAGCACATTGAGGTATAACAGTAAAGCTGAATCTACCGTTAGAACCAGACGGTTGTGCTCCTGGATCATTATAATTGTATCCTATAGCAGCACCAGTTCCTTTCTTTTCATGAAGTTTTTCTTTTTGATGCTCTTTCTCTTCTATTGTTACTCCAAATTGCTCTTCAATTGCCAACTGCTGGAGAAACTTGTCTTCACCTGTAAGAATTAAGTGTTAATTTACCGGAACACTATTGTTTTACTACAATTTGCAAATTTTTTGATTTAGTTTTAAAAACGTAAATAATAAACATTGGCTCTTACTTATTCCCAAAAAGACATTTTGTGCCAGAATCCTATATCTCTCATAGTTGCACTGCCTTTCTTCTGGACTCAGCTCTTCTGGAGGTATTTCAGGGTACCTCACTTCTGGTATGTAGTCCAAGTGGGCTCGCACATCAAAACGGTCTATCATGTTGTTGGTATCTCCTTGCCAAGGCATCCTATGAAACAAAAGTATTTTAGTTAGTAATAATTAGTACTGTAAATTCAATATTACATCAGTACAAACTAAATGTTTGATTATTATCTCAAGATTGCCATCAAAATTAATATTAGCACTCATTAGGTATGTATTCTTGTTGGATTTTGTCATTTTACTGGGAATAAGATTAAAGAATAGAATTTGTTTGTTTCGAGTGGTCGTATGGAAGTTGTTTATGTGAATACTAACATTATAGCTGGGCCCTCGCCAGCCGCTGCAATAGCTGGATCTAAATGTATTTTGCATGGTCGTCCATGGAGTTGCAAAAATTGAGTAGGTTCCGCTTTCTGCAAGAGATAAGAAATTCGATTTGCTCTTTTAAAATGATTATGTATCCATCTTATAAAAAGTAGTGTTATATAAATTAATTAAAGATAAACAGGTAAACAAACGATTGGCTCACAATCTTTTCGTAAAAGTCCTTACGGCGCTCCGCCCTTCGACGATAGTCAACAATCATTCCACGGATCATCCGTTCTTGTTTCCTTGCTTCGTGCCACATTGTAGTAGTTTAAAATAAACACATAAACTAAATATAACGTTAGATTGCTATTCAATTTACATTACGTTTAGTTAAACTTCTCAAAAACGTAACAAAAAATCAAATCAACTTAGACAGGTGTATGTATTTTTTTATCTTTTGCACGCCATCTTAATTTCAATCTTCCTAGTGAGGTGCTCGACATTAATAGGTATGTGACAAGTTAGTCGATTAGTAGCACTGATATGATAAAATCTATGATTAGTAGTTAATAAGCAAAATACTTTTTGTGTTTTTTATGCAAAGTATCCTATTTTCATCGTCCTTGATGCAAACATTATTAATATTTGCATTTGCAGGCCATTCGTATTTAACAAGATTTAAATAGAACAATCTTTTAAAATCCTCGTTTTAACATAACATAACATCACACCTTTTATATACGTAGGTAGGAGTGCACGTTACGGCACTTTATGCCACTGTACAATGTAGCATCCACTTTTTATGTTATGAGTCCCATGTAATAGGGCTTAGCCTATTGCCATAAACCACTGATTTTTTTTACAAACCCAGTAACCCGTATGGGCGCAAGGGCGACTGCCGGGTAAGGGATCTCGGGTTCGACTCCCGGGTCGGGCAAAGTATTATTGGATTTTTCAAAAATCCATCAATTAATTTTTTGAGTAATTGCACGGAGTCTGGAAATGTGCCCGGTATATGGCAATAGGCTCGCCCCCTTTAACATGGGAATCATAACATAAATAGTGAAAAGTGGGTGTTACATTGTATAGTGGCATTAAGTGTCGTAATGTGCACCTCTGCCTACCCCTTCGGGGATAAAAAGGCGTGATGTTATGTTAGTAATAATTTATCTGACCCGGGAATCGAACCCGGCACCCCTTGTCCAGCAGTCGCACTTGCGACTATAATAATAATTCATTTTAAAATATTTTTTTCAGAATGGGAAAGATTTTGCTACCTAAAAAGTACGTAAAGTTTAGATGTTCAAGGGCCGATTTTTCCAACGCCACTTAAATTTTATGAAGGAATAAGTTTGAAAAATTCTTAACTGAAACTTATTTCTCTCATAAAATTTAACTAGCGTTGTAAAAATCGGCCCTAAGCCATAGAGAAAAACTAACACATACAACTAAATACATTTTAATTATGTAAAATAACAAAACTCTCATTTTGTTTTAAATGAAACAGAATCTGTTTTTATATTATTTAATTAACAGTATACAAGTACAAATCTTCATAATCTTCAATATCAAAAAGTATTTCATTTTCTATTTGATGTGGTTTACAAACACTCAACCAATTCATGAATTCTTCAAATATATCTAAATTTACAAATGTATCAGTCATAGATCTGTTACAAACAAGATAACTTCCTTTCTTAATATATTTTTTGAAGAAATACCACATTTCCTTATGTTTTTCATTGTCAACAAAGAATTCTAAGATATTTATTACAATAATATTGGAGTTTGTCACAAGATCACTTCTTTCCATTATATCAGAGTGAACTACTTTTATTCTGTTCGTGTCCATTGTATGCTGTTCAATGATTCTGCTTTGAACATCACAACATTCCTGATTCATTTCCACACCTATGATAGTTCCAGCATTCGATAAATAGTAAGCCTGCAAAAGAAAATGTTTATTTAGTTCCCAGACCCGGAACAACAAATTGTTAATTACACAAAAGAGATGTTCCATGCGGTAATCGAACCTGCTACACATTGCATGGCAGCCAGTGGCCCAGCCACCGCAACAACTGTGCAGTTTAAAAAGTTTTATCATCACCGACCAACAAGAATAAAATTTATGTAGTATTGCTACTTACACCATATAAAACTGCACCTAATCGTGAACCAACATCCAAAATTTGCTTTTCTTCTAAATCACTTGGAAGCAAAACTTTGAATATATATTGTAGAGCTTGACAGGACATTGAATGTGAAATGTATATCAATTCCTGAAACAGAGCAAGTTTGTTATTATTTTAATTTCCATTAATTTGTTCAATAGAATTACTTTGAATATAATATAATTAAAAATATAATCACTTGTACATCCCGATGGTTACAGTTTGTACAATAGTATTTTTTTAGTTTCCCTTTTTTAATAAGTTTTTCTACTTCATTATCATCATATAGGAATTCATCCACATGGCATGTATTAATTTCATTGCAATCTACTTGATTTCCAACTGTTGGTGGTTTTATAATTTCTGATGGCATCTCTGCTTCAAATGGCACAATTTTCTTAATTGAATTACCAATTTTTACGAGTGTTTTCTGTGAACTTTTCAACGCTTTTAAACGTTCTAAATCTGCAAAAAAAGTATTATATAGACATAACCATCAAATTGATCTCCAGTAGATATTCCTATTCCTGCTTTAGATAAATTACTTACCCTTTCTGTATGATCGATTACATATCCATTGTTCAATCGTTTCCATATCAGCTTCGTCCACATCAGAAAGTAATTGTAACATACGGTGTTTTACATTTACTACATTTTCCTCAGACATTTTTGTTGATTATTTATTATAATATTGGGGGAGTCAGTAATACACAATAAGGTTTCCTTTTCAAAAAAAAAAATGAGCTTCAGAGTTGTATAATTTTACAAAACTTCATACACCAAAGTAACAAAATAATGCAAACATTAAACAATAACCATGCGGAAAGCGGACCATGCAATTTAGCACTGTCAGTGTCATGTCTTGTATTTGATTTGACGTTTATTAATATTTCCACCACAACCAAACTAAAAACTAAAACTAAAGCTAAGGACGTAATAATAGACACTAAATACATCTACAACATTTTGTTATTTACCATAAGTCGAATTACAGAGAAGACCTTGGGTAAAAAAATAATTATATTCTATGGCACATACAGATGGCAATGCGGCGCAGAGACCGCGCGTTCCGAAAGCACAAAAATGATCGAACTGTCGAGAACTGGGCGGCCTATAAAAACGCTCGAAATAGGTGTAACCAGATGGTACGTAATGCTAAACGCCGACATATTCTAGATAACATCTCTTCTTCATCTCCGGCCGATATCTGGAAATTCCTCGGGACTCTAGGTATCGGCAAATCACAACACACTGACCTCCCAAATTCTGTTGGTTTAAATGATCTGAACCGACATTTCTCCACTGTGTCCAAATTGGATCCTCTTGCTAAACAGCAAACTTTATCTTTTATTTCTGCTCTGATGCGTTCGTCTTCTTTAGCTTCTTTCACATTCACACCGGTGCAGCCTGAAGAGATTCGAAAGATCATCCTCTCCATTAAATCCAGGGCGGTGGGTTGTGACGGTATATCGCGGTATATGGTCACAACCATACTCGATCATCTCCTCCCAACCATAACTCACATGGTTAACTATTCCCTGTACTCCAAAGTCTTCCCATCCTTGTGGCGTAAAGCCTATGTCCGTCCTCTTCCTAAGATAACCAATCCTACTCTTCCCACACACTTCCGTCCTATATCAATTCTTCCCTTCCTGTCAAAGGTGCTCGAGGCCTGTGTCCATAAGCAACTTGCTGACTACATATACAGTAACTCGCTTATAAGTCCATTGCAATCCGGATTCAGGCCCGGGCACAGTACTGTAACCGCTCTCCTTAAAGTGATTGGCGATGTGAAGGCAGGGATGGAGGACACCAGGATCACAGTATTGGTTTTGGTGGACTTTTCGAATGCCTTCAACATGGTCAATCACGACATTTTGCTAGCTATCCTATCCCATCTTTCGGTCTCTGATGGTGCACTGGATTGGTTTTCATCTTATCTTCAGGAACGTCAGCAATTGGTCCAGGTTGGTGAGGCTTCGTCGAACTGGTGCCATTTAGAGGCTGGGGTTCCTCAAGGCGGAATTCTCTCTCCTCTTCTATTCTCCATCTTCATAAACCTTATCACTTCCGAACTTCAGTGTGCGTACCATCTGTATGCCGACGACCTGCAATTGTACTGTCAAGTCAAGATTGAGGACTTACCTGATGCAGTTGCGAAGGTGAACGCGGACTTGACTGCCATATCTAACTGGTCTGGGAAATTTGGCATTAATGTCAACCCGAGCAAGTGTCAGGCGATAATAGTAGGTAGCTCCCGCACTTTGTGCAAGGTTAACAGTGCAACGGTACCGCCAGTCCGATTTGACGGTGCGGTCATTCCATTTAGTAGTGATGTCAAAAATCTTGGGTTGCACATCGACGGCAACTTAACCTGGCGTGCTCATGTTACTAGTGTCTGTCAGCGAGTCACGGGGACGTTGCGAGCCCTCTATCGGTTAAAAAACTTCCTTCCGTCGTCGACCAAGGCGATGCTTGTTCAGTCCTTGGTTTTCCCCATAATTGATTACGCTGATGTGTGTTACTACGACCTGAATGCAGATCTCCTCAATAAACTTGACCGCCTTCTAAATAACTGCATTCGATTCGTCTTTAACCTGCGTAAATACGACCATGTCTCTGCATATCGGTTGCAACTAAAGTGGTTGCCCATACGTCAACGCAGGAAACAACGGGCGTTAACCACTTTATTTTCTCTTCTTAATTCCCCCACTTCTCCTAGCTATCTATCCTCCTATTTTCAGTTCATAAGTGCAAACCACAGCAAGTATCTTCGTTCCACTAATAATCTTCTTCTACAATGTCCCACGCACCGGACCGACTTCCTTCACTCTTCATTCTTTGTCCAATCCATTCTGCTGTGGAATGCGCTGCCCACGGATGTCAGGACGGCAACCAGCCGGCTTAGTTTTAAAGTTAAGGTTCGTGAACTATTGCAGAGGGAACAGACAGACGCATCACCTACTTAATTTATCATTTTGGCGATTGTATTTAATATATATGTATAAATATATATATATTATAAATATATATTATATGTATTTTTATTCCCAATTTATTTATTCACTTTTATAGTATTGTTATTTAGTAATATTGATAATGTATCTTATGTAATTTACATTATACCTATATATACGGATATATGTATGTATTTACAGTTATGCTTCACATAAACCATTATACCTATTACACCTACTGTTGCACATCTCTGCATCACCCCATGGTTGACTGTTAGAGAATGCCACCCGGCATTAAGTCCGCCATCGTATGTTATATACAGAAGTGTTAATAAATAAATAAATAAAATATATTGAAATGGATTACTGAAATATTTTACACATAGTTTTATTTGTAAAGTTATCACTTTTATGTAGACAAGTTTACATGATAAACGATTAAAGACAGACAGCTCGCGCACCATAAACTATACTATCATAAAATAACAATTATTTATTTGAGATAAGACTATTATTTACAATGAACACTATTTTTAAGGAACTTGATATATCCTAGCAATAACTCACAGGGGTACAGCAGTTACCTAATTTAGTCGATTGCATATTGGGAAACTTTAAAGTGATGTCCTTCTTTTATGTGTGAATCAAATATGTAAATCACTGGCACAACACTACTTCCTAAATTCCTTCCTCATCAAATGATTTGACGTTTGGTCGATCGCGCCGCATTTAGCTCCGTGTTATTATTGTTTTGTAATTTTGCCGTGTAGAGTTTAGCATTTAAAAAAGTAACATGCTTATCCTTGTATTTAATTTCAAGTTGTTTTTAAAATCAGTGTTTTTCTATTGAGTTACAGTTCAAATCTTTATTTACAAAATATAATATAGCAGCAAATATTTTAATTTTTAATTTAGAAAAATACTGTAAAGTTTGGCTAATTCAATAATTTTATTACGATGGATAGTTACGAGCCGCAGAATAAAACCATTGGTTTATGGATGTCTGACAAAAAGAGTCAGAAACATAACTGGAAGGAATTTATAAAGGCGTGTGCTTCTCATGGATACAATTTAGTAAGAGTGAGTAATACTTGTATTAAATTAAGTGATTTGTAAGACTTGGTCATTGCAACAGCATAATTTTCAATAATTAAAATATAAGCGGTGTTAAGACCATCTATGGAATAGAACTTTAGTTTTGATATATTTTTTTATACAGATGGGAACTTCGTTTTTAATAAAATATGCTGTGCAAAGATTTTATTTACTCTACATAAAGATATAAGATTTTATTATGATTCAATTATTACTTACAGTTGGATTTGGATAAATCATTAGAGGAACAGGGACCAATTAATGTGTTCCTTCACAAATTAACTGATGTCATTGCTGCTGCTGATTATGGGGACCCAAAGGTAAATTAACCATATTTGTTTATTAAACAAATTTAGTCTTCAAATATTGTCAGAGGAGTTGGGAGGTGTGTTAATTGTTTTCTAGGTCAAATCTATTCAAGTAAGGAAATTATGTGGTATAACAATCAATAAGTTTTACTTATTTCTAAAAATAATAAAAGCTAAGATAAACACCATGATGATATCATCTCCATAATATTTTGCTACCTATGAAGTAAACCTCTAAAATGACTTGAAGATGACTCACTTTAATTGACTCTTATGAGTAATGAAAGAGCAATAGATTTTGTCCCTTATTTAATCACTTAACTATGTATATTTACATGAAATTATATTATCAATGCTATGCCTTATATTAGCAGGATGTTAAACAGGGATATATGAGCTAGTTCTTATCACCTTCAAAACTCGAATTTGTTTCATGGTCATTTTCCTTTATTGTTTTTTTTTTAATAGGAATTAATGTCCTCGCTCTGCAGGGTCAATAAAAGATACAATAAATTGGTCACACTCAAGTGACTGGAATATAAAAACGAAATTAACAGCTTCGTAAGAACAAAAAAGTAATTGAGATAATTTTCCTGATTTTTTTTTCATTTAACGTTTGATTGGATGGGCAATCACTTTTTAATTGAGTTGTCTTTACAAAGTCTTTATAAATAAATTATGATGAAGATGAATTACGATTATTACTAGAAAGGCCAGTTGTTAAGAAGATTGATTTTAGGAATAAGTTCAACAAAGGCTTGTATCACAATGTCTGATTAAGTATCTGCTATGGTAACTGATGAATAATTTCATGTACTAACTGTAACTTTTAGACATTGTTAAACGTGCCTGTTTAATAGCCATGTATTAGGTTTATAGCCTTCTCATAATATAATAGGGAAGGCTAATGCCTGTCCTCAACCTATTTGGAAAAATCCAAAGATGTCATTTATTACATATTGTTGAATAGATTTAAATGTAAGTTACAATTTATATGTGTAACATCACACCATTTATTTTCCGAAATGGTTAGCAAAGGGTGATGTACAGATTACAATGTAGCATCCACTATACCAGTTGTGTTGAGTTTGCTGTAAAGAGTGACGAATCTATCTATAGCCATATATATCAGGCACAATTCTATCCTCTCCTATTGTTTGCTCTTGCTACTATATTAACATGCTTGTAAAAAAAAACAATCAGTCAAACATAGGACCTCTTTCTTTTTTTGAAGTCGGTGAAAATGGAATGCTCCCAAAACGCTGACAAAAATATTTTGGTTTTTAATTGTTTTTGTCTTTGTGATATTCATGCAATGTCAGCCTTGAACAGTTGATTACATAAAATAAACAGTGAATTCCTTAATTTTATGAAATTAAACTTGCTTTGTACTATCACCCATCGGTGTTTTTCGGAAGCATTCTGTTTACACCCTGTCTATCAATAATTCCCATTAGTAGTTAAGAGCAAAATGCTGTACAGTTATAACAATAATGGACTTTCATCATTAATTGCTTTGTAAATGTTCTGTTATCTGTTATCAGGCATCAATAACCATTAGTCGAGTGGAACAGTACCTGTCAAATCATCCGAATATAACAGTTATCGATCCTTTGGACAATGTCAGGATATTACTTAATAGGTATGTATAGAATGGTTGTTTTATGTTATATTGTTATCATTTATCCTGTGAATTCATGTTTGGCATCGATTCCTGCAAGGAATGCTTCCAAAACAATTTCAATTTCTAAAATAATGCAATGCAGTCAAAAATAAAGATAAAAAGGTTAATAATAATAAAGTATGCATGGATAGACTTACCATACATATAAGTTACTGAATGAAGTTTGACATTTGGCCTCTTTGTGATCTGCATTTTAATCCCTATCTCTGTACTCATAAAGTACTTTTTATCTCAGCACTTGTATAGACTACAAGAGTAATTATATGAGTGCAGTGATTAGTGTTAATTGATGTCTTGACCTAAGATCCCTTGATAATTACTTAACAAAACAAAGTAAGAAGTCATTGACTGTTGAAGATTGCATTTTATTGCTCTTACAAATGTTTACAGTGTCTTTATCTCCCTACTGTACTACAACTACAATGTATCTTATCATGATAAAAGATTATGTACATTAGAATCGTTAGGCTGTTAATATTCTACTTTATTTACCTAGTGCAATGTAATGTGTGTTAGCTGTTAGGCTGTGTGTAATGGGTCGGAAGGTTTCAGGATCAAGAGCCAAAAAATATTCAATTTTTTACAATAATCATTGAAGAGCAAAGATAACTAGACACAAGGATGTTTCAATAAAGCCTGTGGGACGCTTCTGAATGCAAAATGATAGAACAATATTTTTAAAGTCACACTTTTTGTCTCATAGGGGAAGAACGAAACTACAGCGCTACTAAATTAACTAAAAAATCGCGGTTTACTCACGTGAATATACTGAGAAAAGCTCTACTAGTTTCGAACCACAGAGGGGTTCTTCCTCATAAGGAGGAACCCACGAGTCAAGTATGTCTCACGATAGTTATTATAAAAACAGCGTTACTGCCTGCTACGATCCTAAGTATTCCCTTAGTTTCCTCAACATTCAGACATACACACACAAGAGAAAACTAAAATGATCCTTAAAACATTTCAGATATTGTTACTACACAATCCTACAAGACGAGCCATCGCTTCGTAAACAAGGAATATTCACTCCATCCTTCGCAGAATTTACCACAGCTAATATAGAAATGAACATGGAGATCATGAGACAAAGAGGTGTCAAGTTCCCGGTCATCTGCAAGCCAACCATAGCTCACGGATCTAAGTCGGCCCACGATATGATTGTGATATTCAATGAGAAAGGGTTGCATGTATGCAAGCCTCCCTGTGTTGTACAGAACTTTGTCAACCATAATGCAGTATTACATAAAGTTTTCCTAATAGGAGATAGGTTGGTATTATTCTTTTTACTACTTTAATGCTTGTTTTTTTCTCAAAACCATAAATTGGTACTTTTGGAACGTCAACAAATATAAAATAAATAATAGTCTGTCAGTCTGTTCCTCAGTGAAGCTAGGCGCTTGTTCCAAAAAGTAGATTCGAGTGGAGAAGAACGAGGAAGAAACTCCATTCGTTACTCTTTAAAAAATAGTATTTTTACTATCTCTCTGATACATATTCGAATATTGTACATATATGTGAGAACAATGTAAAGACACGCTTAACGCATAATACAAATTATAGAACTTACTAAAAAAAAACAAAACAAAAATGAAGAAATATAGTCTCTAACATAGCGCTCATAAATGCCTACTGACAATCCATATAAAAGTTCTGTGAAATAAATTGTTGGGTAATACGATATATGCATGTTTCTAGTTATGTTATGAGATAAAGCCACTAAACCAGGGTTTCCTAATATTTTGCACAGCAGAATTTCGTAAGGGAAAACCCAAAAAGTTCAGTTGGGGGTCATATTCGAGTATCTATCCTTGCAACTGCGATAAATAAATAAATATTAATTTATACCATAAAATTTCCATATTCTCAGTATTTATATTTAACCTTACAAGGTTAATGTACACAAACACCTCACATTCGCCATATCTTGTGTGTCATATTTATTATTATACATGATTACACCTGATTTCATAAATACGAAACAACACATTCACGCCACATTCATTTATATTATATTGTTTACAATAGTTATTATTTACCTGGTTATTATTATAATTGCGCAAACCATGCATTGTGTTTAAAAATTAAATTTTATGACAATAACATTCATTATAAAATATTAATATGAGTATTTATAATTCCAGGTACCACATTTGCGAGCGACCTAGCCTAAAGAACTTCTACGCATCAGATGATCTAGAACCAATTTATTATAGTACAGGCGAGGTTTGTAAAGCAGATAGTCAATCTACACTTTCAATCTTAGACCCTCACGATAAGGCCGATATTACAATGACGCTAAACGAGGACAAGATCAAAACTATCATAAGAATATTAAGAAAGAGGATAGGGTTGCTTTTAGCTGGGTTTGATGTAGTTATTGACAATGTGACTGGTGGACATGCAGTCATTGATATCAACGTGTACCCAAGCTACGATAATTTCCCAAATTTCTTTGAACACCTACTAGATTCTATAGAAGAGGCTGAAGGCAGAAAAGCGAATAAAGTATACTCGAATGGAGATTGCAACGGTGTGTACGAAGAAGAATATTTAGGCCACAAGGTAAACGGTTTAATTAATGTTGGAATGGATCCTATAAAATTCGGTGTAACCGGTATGAATATTAATTGATATAATATGGTCAATGTGTTGAACACTAATGTATTTATCGATATTGTTATTGGATTTAAATGACTGCTTTTATGAGTCATGTGTGAGTGTGATTATGAGCAGACACGCTACTTACTTATCACAAAGTTGCTTTGGCGAAATGTTTCGGTTTAAGATGAAGGCGACTCTTACCGGGAATTATAGTCATGAATCATAGCAATTAAGTATGTACTACATCATAAATCAATAACACTAATTTTGAAACTTCGCTATATGAGTTCAAGATTTATTAGCTCTATACCTCGTTACGTAGTACGGTCGTCAAAAAGCAATACAGTATTGTGATAGTTGCCAAATCGCCAAATAAAAAGTAGCGTGTCCACTCACAAACCAAAATATTGTTACAATTTGTTTTAAATGTTATGTAAAAAACTTATTTTTGTACACGATGTATAATATGTTATATTTTATGCACGCTTATATTGAGTATTTAATCAGATTCTTTTATTTTCTTAGATAATAATTTTAAAGGCAATATTAGGGTGATTATATTACTGAAGTGAGCAACTTTGGTTTGAAGTTTTTGAGAATGGAACACAGACAATGATGGTAGTAAAGAATAATGTGACGTAAACGTAACGTAATACAGTTGTTCTTTCAAGTTTTCGGCAAAAGGTTTTAAACACCTTGTGTAATAGTATAGTTGTGTTATTATACTGTTGAGTAAACGTGACTGCAATTTATTCAGCGTTTGACATCATATTATTGTATTAGACTCTTATGAGTTGAGTGAGCGCAACTGTGACTACGAACTTATGAGTCTCTGGATTCATCAATACTCGGCTCCGTGTAAAAGTTCAGTACAGTTTTGAGAAATCAATTTAATGACTACTCATAGTTTGATGAGGAAATATGATGTCATGTCGTGGTAACCGTCTATGAGATGTCATGTTATATTATATCACTAGAACACATCAATTGATTGTTGAATCTATTATTGACTTATCGCTTATGTATAATTCAATTAACGCCTTTCACAACCAGATGACACGCAGATACATTTGTTCGACAGTATCTATACACAAATACACGTATTACTGTGTAGTTTCGTGTGATGACACGTTTCAATCTGTTATACGTAGATGGCAGCACTATCGTGAATAAGTCGTTAACACAATCTCGAATATTGTTTTTAGTTAAAAGTAACAAAGGATTCCTATGGGCAATAAATTCCTGTTGTTTATTAAGTATTCAATATTCCATAAGTTTAGTAGGTAAGTCAACCGCCAGCCCATCAAGCTACCCATTTCTTAGATGGAATTTCAGCTTTATTAAATTGGAATTGAGTTGAAAATCGTTTGGAGTAATTTGACTGGCGTGTATCAAGTGATTAATTACTATGTTTTTCGGCTTACTCGCGTAATTATTCGACGACGAACTCAACTACTGTCAAGCCATTCTTGAGGCTTATATTCATGAGCAGCATTCCGCGACCCGCGACGCGGCGGCTCGCGCTGCTACTGGAATAATTACGTGAGTAAGCCGAAAAAAATATATTAATTAGTTTAGTATGTTTGACGAAAGTAATAATAATGATAATAGGAATGTTTTAAAAGTATTGAAACATGAATGTCCGATGTATATAGGAGAACAGTTTTTGACTATTTATATTAGGTATCTATACTACCTTTATCTATATGTCCTTCAAAGTTTGTGATCCTAATATCTCTAATATTATACTTATATAGTTCTACCTGATATACAGTATACTATGTATAAAATTCAACTTTTAGTGCCTAAATATTTGAATGTAACCTCAATGTGTATATTTACTATGTGAAATTAATGTTTTAAATGTTTCATGTGTAGGATTCCACTGTTTATTAGCATTTTTGTTTGCATTCCCTTAATATTAATTTTAAAGCTTCGGAAAATTGTATACTAGATTCATTTGGTTTGTTGTACTAGATTTAGTATCAACTATGAATTAGATAATTTATTGTCAGTTCAACATTTACGTATTAGCTCTTTAGATAATCCTCTAAGGATATTTGGTTTCAGGTATAGTTGTTACTCATATTTAGTTAGAGCAAAAATTTGTTCTATAATATGAATTCTAACATTGTTGGAGAAAGTAAATTCCTATTAGGGACACTGAAACCTGTTTCAGTATTAAGATTGATCTCTATCAATCTTAATATCCTTTATATCATAAATCAATCAATCAATATTATCAGCTATATCAACCGAACTCAGTTATACTGTTCCATTACTTATCAAAAGCTAGAGCTTATCAAAAATAGTCCTGCTAGATTTACTTCCGTACACAGTGGAACAATCAGATAATTTCAATTAAATTAATTATTATAGTAGAAATATATTGGAAATCACAAGTATAACACAATCATAGATTTGCTTTTTGGTACCAATAATACGGGCTTAAGACTGATATAGTCGTTTAAATACAATTAAGTATTATATCACACAGTTGCATAGTAAATGGAATTGAACAATGTATTTGTTAAAATGTTTCCCTGTTGATCAGATTTTCTGGATTTGTATCTAACCGTCGTACTCAGAGTAAATTTAATGGCTACTTAAGTTACTTAACCCAGTCCTTAGCAAATGTTTTCGGAACAAAATCGTTACTAAGGAATAGTTTAAGGCTTTGACTGCCGACAGAAAACTGTTGAAGGTAAATCCTCCGCTAGCGTGGCCCATACGTTGTCCCCCATGGCGTTCAAGGTGTTAAGTAATCATTAAATGTCTCTGAGTATCGCAGTAAGACCTTGATTGACAATGTCTGATTTGGTTCCTAATGTTAGCTGTACTGACACTTTTGTTGTGGAAAATAGGGCTGTTTATCTGTCAGTTAGACTAATAAATACTTAGGGTCGATTTTTCAATCATCAGTTAATTGTAGAATAAAATTGATATTTGATAGTTTTTAGTATAAAAGAAATGTCAAATGTTTAAAGTTGTTCCTCAGCTAAAGTTTATCTGGCGTTGTAAAAATCGGCCCTTAATCAGATATTGTAAAACGGCCATGTATTAAGAAACTTTATAAAGTGTCTAATTTTAGTTATTTTTCTTAAATACATATAATGAGATGTTCTAGAGAGGTACATGCCCATTTGTAGTTTGAGATAGCACATATGACTTTTTTCTCAAGCTTAAAGAATATTGTTTGCTTCTTAATAAAGACTCTGGAACTTTGCAAATATTGCCTGTGGGCACTTCAGATCTATGTTTGAGCCATCGGGTACATTTATTATTGTTTATTTCAATCAGACATGTACCTCATGCCATGGAGAATAAAAATAGCAGAAGCCTTAATTGATTAAGAAATTCATGAATGTGATTGGAATTAAATAGTTCCTGGTTTTCTAATGTTTACTTTTAAACGATGTTTGAGTAAAATGTACAGCTAGTTAATTATTATTATTTTAACAATTTAACGCATTTTCGCAGCACCTTATTTTATCTTGCAATAGTTTGTAGACTGTCTTATTTCACTTATGTGCATCGTTAATGTAATATCTGAATATGTAAATCTTGAATTTTATGTCTGTATGTGTATTAATTATGTATTATTTTTTAAAATTGTAATTGGATCGTTATTTGGCCTAAGAACAAAAATGTGTCTAAAAATTTAAAATTGTTGTCTAATAATAAAAAAGAATCGTAATGAATAATTAGTTATGCTAGGAGTCCAATTTTGTGATTAAGCTGTTTAAATTACATGGTTATTGATTAGTGTATCATTCCATAAATCAAGTTTATCAAATGTATTATTTTGATGAAGACTGATTTATACATTTATGTTTTAAATAGTAATTGTTATATCATCCTATTTTTGTAGCACGGAAAATATTAAGGCCAGTGCTAAAAGCCTAAATCAGAGATGTAATAATTACAATAAGAAAATTAGGAAATTTGGAAGTGATTAAAATAAAGCATTTGAAAGTACATATATGAAATACTCTATTTGTTTTAATATTTTATTGTTCCTATAGACCTTAATATTTTCCCTTTATAATCTGTCCATAGTTAAGAAAATATAGCATACCACATTTATTATTATTAAGGAACAAAACAGTGTTAAGTCTCTTAGCTTTGATATTCTTATCTAACGTTACATTTGCGTTTTTAAATTATTGCAGTTGCTAAAATAGCTATATGAAGTAAAAAAATTATCAAGACCAATGAGAATGCAACGTTTTCCAAGTATTTTTTGTGTTGGTCCCAGTATGCTTCCTTGGGGAACTCTCCGTAGATTTGTACACAAGGGACTACGAAACATAATTATGCACTATGCAGTCCAATTTTTGGAGACGTGCTTTACATAATAACCAATTATTATTAGATTATCCAAGGCAATTTTTAAATCTGGCGGTGTATAAACAACTTTTTGTGTTATCTAAATCGAAAGCTTTTTTAAAAATATAACATCTAACTTATGAAAGATTTATATGTTTGAATTGAACATTAAAACTTACTCCTCGAACATAATTACAGCATTTAATGTAATGAAGTTAATATTTATCTCGTTAACTAGTATGTACCTATTGAAGAACCAGTAATCTAAGTTGTTTGCTAAAAGAGCCAATGGGTCATTGGTACATACTTGTATACGCATTAATATAAGGCGTAACCCGTACCCAGCTTTTCTCCTTCAACGTTTATGAAGTTGATTACTTAGTGAAAGTCGAAGCTGGGATATACCTAGGTACCAACGACGAATGGGTATAATTAGGAGGTGAAAGTCAACTAAACGGGAATCCGTATTAGTTTCTGAGTGAACAAAGGAACATTACAAAATTGTGGAGACAACACTGGAAATTAATTAAGTTCTAAAAGTTAAATCTTGTATCGATATAAGAATATCAAAAGCTAAAAGCCTCGAGTACCTAGATCTTCCGACGCAATAAACATGTAGTAATTTGTAACAAATATAGCAATACGTAATATAAACACCTGATGCCAATACTAATGCTGTTTTAAATCAATTTGACGTAAAATATTGAACTTTAATAACACCATTTCTTAGTTTAAAATCCCACGTAAGAGTACAATAACGGTCGTGTTCGGTTAACGTTACCATAAAGGCGGTAATTGTTAATTCGACACAGTTCTGTGCATAAATCACATCTAGTTGCGGAGCTAGAGAGGCGAATCTGTACAATTTATTATACATTACCGTACGCAATCCCAGCCGTGTACACGGGCCGGTTCGTCGCATTCAAAACACAGGAAGCGATTCTAGATCGCAAATTCAATGTCATTAGCGTCCGCTGCGAAACACGAGACAGCCAGATACAATATACAGTGGCCAATATCCTTATTTTGTTATATTTCCACACATTTATAAATACCAGCGTAATAGTGTGACTATGAAATTTCCAATATTTATTGATGTTTAGTATTCTGAAGTCCCATTTCCTTTAGCTTATGCAAATAATGATCTTAACTTGGTAAATGTTGCGAATTTATCTTGAGATATAAATTCAGGATTATTTATCTAGTCACAGTTTGATACTTGTTTGTTTAGGATAAAAATACTACTTTCTATTTTGGTACCTACAGTAAAAGTTAATATTTTCTAGAACACAATCAACTGAAATCATTGTCCATTACAAACATTTCTCGAACTCGCATAGTATGGTGTGTGAAAAAGGTTGTTAGCGAAAAATTGGATGCTTCAGCCTTGTAATTGCAGCGTTGTTTTGAATTGCGATTCAGTCAGCTGTCGGCACATGCGGACAAAGCACGCGCGTCGTGCGCGCAGGCCGCTTTGCCTCCGCCGCGCTTTTCGCGCGTTTAAATAATTCGAATCGTATTTCACGTCTTGCACTTCGTTTACGTTTTTAATTAATTTTTAACATCTGCGGCATGTGGTTTCTTTAATTGTGTTTTCAGTGCTTGGGATATCACAGTGAATAGCAATTTTAGTGTGTGTTCCATTATTATTGTCTGGTCAATCATTATTGTCTGGTTCGTATTGTGTTGCTAACTAGCCGCCAATCTGTCAGTTAATGGACTTTAGTGATGCGTGTAATCGAAAGCACTAATTAACGGATCTGTGTCAAAAGTGTTGTTGTGTGTATTAAACGGAAGTGTTTGGACGCTAGAACGTGTTCTATCGGACGGAGGTAAGTCGGACATCGTGTTATTGATCGGACATAATAAATATCTCTGTTTTTACTATAACGGAAACGAGTTGGTCACATAATATGTCCGTAGAACGAGTTATCTTTTACTTTTTAAATTCCATCGCGATATTTTATAGACGCAAATGTCGCACAAATAGATTCAAGAGCAATGAAAGTTACGTTGCACGCAAAATTGAACTAGCAATGTTGCTTAGTTACAGTAGGTCACTGTATTGGAAATAAATAATAACCGATTCAACCTTATCTGAAAACAATAAAACGTGAGAACTTAAATAGCCATATGTAAAAGCAAATAAAAATAGTTATTATTAAAAAAAATACATATGCTCGTTAGTGTTTGTGTGGCTGTTATAAAATTTTATTTAT